GGGCTGAGCCACTGGGGGTCCATGGGCGACAGCTTGTCCCGGTAGAGGATGCCCTCGGGCTGGGGCGAGGCCTGGGAGCAGGGGCTCTTGGGACTGGTGCTGCGCATGGGAGTCAGGGAGGCCCGCTCCTGGCTGCCCTCCCTGTCCACCCCGGGGGATCCCGGCTGGCCGTTGCTGAGGGACTTCCGCGCCCCCGCCGCCCCGGCCGTGGCGTCGATCTTGAAGAGCGGGATGCTGTTGAGGGGCACGCTGGCGAGGGGCTGGTTGAACAGGGCGGGGTTGGCGGCCCAGTCGCGCAGGGCCTTCTGCAGGCGGCGCACGTGCAGGGGCTTGGTGGCCATGCCCACCAGCGCCATGATCTCCAGGAACTCCTCCTCCCCGGCCTCGCACAGCTGCTGCACGTCGTCGCCGCCCTGCTGGATGAAGGTGTCGTAGTAGGCCAGCAGGTTGGCGCGCTGCAACACCCGGTACAGCTGCAGCTCCCCCAGAGTCCGCGGCAGAGACATGACCTGCGGGGGCGCAGAGCACAGGAGAGACGCTGGATGACTCACCGGCCCCCGTGACCCCCCAGCCCCACCTTCCAGCCCAGTCCCGGCTGCATCTGGGACGGCCCTCCTCTTACTTCATCGTCTGGGAGCCGAGGCGCGTCAGCAACAAAAAAGAAAGCCTGGTGCACAGTCCGGGCTCGTTGGAGTGCACCCCTAATTCAACTGCTGAGGCCAGTTCTCGCATCTCCCCCAAGCTGCCGTGTCACTCAGGTGGGGCTGCACTGCAGCAGTGGAAGAAGTTGGCCCCTTTCTACAGGCACTTTTATGGCCACTTGAGGTGAAAGGCGCTATATAAATGGCTTGGACACAGTGTTTCGAGTGCATATATGAAAATCGGCATAATAATTATGACTGAAGAACGCCATTAATAACAAATGATTATTAAATCATAATAATTTATTATTATTATTATTATTATTATGATTATTATTATTATTATTATTATTTAGGGGGTGGGTCTTAACCGAAGTAGCTTTCTGCCTCACCTGAGACTGTGAGGCTCCCAGAACGAGTCTGGAGGAGAGACGGATGTTGGGCCAAGAGGCCAGGAAAACAAATCGCTGGTCCGTGACCAAGCCCAACTCATGCAAGCCACCTAGAACTGCACCATCACTGATCGGGCACTGCCTTTGTTCTGACTGCACCGTGTGCATGTGGAAGCAATCACCACCGAAAGTCCATATTAGTACCACTATTGCTGTTAGCGGTGTTGCTGCCACTATGTTTATTACTCAGAGAAACACTAGACTCCCACTGCACATCACTTTGATCCATTTCGGATTTTGCTAGCAGCTGGTCTGAACTGACTCGGGGTGCGGCGTGTATTTATCCCAGTAAACGGATCGGGTAAAGTGCGTGGAGCTAAATCCCATTAACCACGCCGTCTTTGTGCTTCGCCGACTCCACTGCCACAGCCCGCTTGTTTTCCTAAGCTGCTGTCACAGTAGCAGACAGTAGTAAAAAGAATCAGAAAAGCGAAACGCATAGAACCTCACTTGTCTGCAAACTAAATACTGAACACGCCAGCAGAGCAATCTGAGAATATCAAAGGCAGCAGCGGTTGAGGGACAACTCTTCAAAAACACCTCGATATCCTGATATCTAACACAGTGCATGCTTGCGTTTCCCACGTTTTTAAGAATGCTGATAAGACACAGCCACGTCCGACACAGAAAGACCAGACAGGCAGAAGAGATGACATTTGGCGCCTCTAGCAGATAAAGGTTTATCGGGGTCACTGTCTGGCGAGACGTCGGTCTATTGGCTCGGAGAAGAGACGCTTTCTCGGGAGAAGGTGCGCCTTGCCCACGGTGGCCGGCAGTACCTCGCCACGGAGCAATAGAACAACCCAACCGATCCGCTATCAGGATATTCCTAATCACCGAGCCCCCTGGCTGTGATGCGCCCATGGGGCTTCTTACTTGCGACAGTAACCTCGTCCTCTCGACAATACATCGTTGCGTACTGCGTGCGCGCTCTTCGGGGGGCAGCGGGTTTAGATAGAAAAATACCAAAGGTACCGTATGACGTGGAGCACAGCTCGCAATTTCTGATTTCTAGATCCCCCGAAAGTACAGAATTCTGTTTTCTGCAGCTGTTGACGGAAAACAGCGGTCAGCAAAAGTTTGATTTACAAGGGTCTGAATACAAAAGCGACTTATCTGGAGGAGCGGCGAAGCACAGGACTTGGGAAACACGATCAGGATAGTATGTTCAGAAACACAACCTGCTCGCGGGGGGAGGGAGGCAGTCAGAATGGTTGCCTACAGCGGCTGAAACACCGGCGACTCGCAAACGTCGCGATTCCGCTGATCTGCGAACGGGCGGATAGCTGCAAACGTAATAATAAGCGCACAAGCTGGGGGTGGGAAAGATCATGTAAGTGCTGAACGGCATCTGTGAAGAGGGGTTTACGCCGGTGTGTCTTGCTCTAGCCCTGACGCAGAACGTTTCACAATAGTTACAGTTTCAGAAGTTGCCACCCGCAGCCGTACGGGATCACTCGCACCCCAAAATTGCACGAAGGCAGCCGGCTGTGGCACCCGCTCCTTCCGAGGTCACCGGGTAAGCAAAGACGATCGCCCTACCTCTCTGGGATCCGCCCGGTCGGCTGCGATCACGTAGAGACGGTGCCCCGCGGGCGCGCTCCTCGGCTCGGCTCCCGGCGGGAACGCCCAGCCAGCTGCCCGGCTCGCCTCGCTGCGGAGCGCGGCTGTCCCGCTCACGCTTTCGCGCTCGTCGCTGTTCCGACGCTGAATTGGAAAAGGCAAAAAAAAAAACACACCGCGCAGGGAGAGGAGCGTGTGTAGGGGGAAATAAGTGAGAGAAAACGGAGAGTTTCCCCCGTTGCCCTCCCCTGCTCTCCCTTAAGTCCCGATGGGTGAGTTGTGCTCCGTCTTCTGCCTCGGCTTTGGTCTGCTCCCTGTTCACCCCTCAACCGCCCCGGCGCAGACAGGAATCGAAACGTTTAGGCAGAACTTCTAGAAACTTTGGTCCAACATGCCCGCCTGGTTTTTGTACCCCCCTATTCTCCCTGTTTCTTATCTTATGATAATATTTATTGTTCCCCCCTTAATTTCTGCTCTTGCCGATACTTTGTTGTCCTGCGGGCTGCCTGTTTTCTCTGGCTACTGTCCTCTCTCGGCGGACCGCATTGTTAAAGACAGTGTTTTGCAGGGTGTGTGGGTGAGAGAGACCCGGGGGCGGACTGCAGCGCGCCATCTGACCGAAAAAGAGCTTTCCTCTCCCGGGTAGAGAGGCGGCTTTCAGGGTGGGGGTGTGGAAGTTGGGGGGGATAGGGTGGTGGGGGGATTCACATGCTAGCTTTTATCATTTTAACCCTTTCTTTAAAAAAAAAACCAACAACAACACAACTGCGGCGAGAGAGGTCCCGGCCACCTACAAACTTCCTTTCGGTCTGGTGTGTGCGTCTAACTCTATAGTGCGGGTTTCTTCTCCTGAAGAGACCTGAACGACCCAGTCACACCCCCTGTGTCGAGGCCGTTCCAAACCGTGCAAGTGCTCAAAGACTGCTGCGGATCACGCAGTAAGGCGCGGAGATCTGTCGACAAATCCCATCACGCCGCTGCCGTCGATTTCAACACCTCCCCAGCGCCACAGAGCGGCGTTGCCGCTGGCGGGCTCAGTCGTGCACGCACAAGTGCACTGCCGCGACTTCTGCACGGAGCCACAGCGACAGCCCCTGCCCGCATCGCCCTCCGCCTGCGCGGCGCCCGGGTCACCTCGGCAGTAGCCGTAACACAGTAACAAGCCTCTGATTGAACAAAAAAGTTCTGAAAAAATGACGCAACTTAAAAGCAAGAGAAGCTAATTAAACATCAGCAATGCAATTAATATTACCACCATCACCAATAATAATAATAATAATAATAATAATAATAACCCACCATCCGTTCCCACAGCCGAAAAGGCTCCAGTCCTGTAGATCTATGGGAGTAAAACACATCTATTGCTTCCTATGACTTGGGTTGTGCATCTGGAGTCTGTGAAATTCGGGGTATTAAAAGAGCTTCGCTCCTTGTCATCAGAAGAGCTACGTCTCGCTGTCTCCACTTCACACTCCATAGCGCTTAGGAGTGAAGAACTACGTAACCACAGTGTTTCGAGTGCGTTTGTGAACATCGGTATTATTATTATTATTATTATTATTATTATTATTGGGTTAGAATAATTCAACAAACACCTTGGCAAACTGGTAAAACAAGGTACATGATAGATGTGTGTCTTGTTTTATGACGAACAGCAGAAAAACTCCATCAGCAGCACCGCGGCTCTGCGGGAGCGGGCTGTGTGTGAGCGTGCCAGCGTGTGGCTGTCCGGGGGAGGCGCGTGGGCCACTTCCGACTGGGTTCGACGGATCCGAAGCGTGACGCAGTTGACAAGGGGGGATTCCCCAGTGATGTAATTCTCAGCTCACATAAAACCGTTCGAAAACTCTCCGCTCGACTGCAGCCGGTATGATATGCAAGAGCAGCGTTTTCTTGTCAGGCTGCCTGCGTCTGGCGTGCCCATACCTCCGCCGCGGTGTACGTAGTTGGTCGGCTGGGTTGCTTGTGTGATCGCACCAGTGGAACACCCGGCTTTCGTTAGCTTGGGACTTTCTCACCCTAGAACGAACACAGTCTCGTTTCCTGTTTTCGCCATGACGTTGCTTGAGAAGGACAGCAGGTCCAAGTGGGTGAATAGCGAAGGCGTCTGCAAATCGCCCACCTTCTCTTTTATCCCCTGACGTTACACAACAGGCCGTTATGCGTCACTGTGTGGATCCTATTAAAAGCAATTAAACAATTAAGATGTTTTTTTTTCTGTCAATTCGCAGCACCAGCATTACAAAATATCAACATCTCATTATATAAGCCGGCGCAACGGGTTCGATTCCGACCTGAGGAACCGTCTGTGTGAAGTTTGCATGTTCCGCTGTGTCTGTGTGAGTTTTCTCTTAGGTGTCTAGTTTCCTCTCAGATTCTGAAGACATGCTGGTGGGGTAGTTGTTGTCTCAGTTGTTGTCTCCTTGTGTGATGGGCAAATGTCCCACTCGGGATGAGATCCCATAATCCCAGGAGATCCCATAATTCCTGTATCGGCTCCATTTCCTGAACCAGGTATACAATCGTCTTAATTATAATGGGTGGAATTTGCTGAAATACTGGACTTTTCTAACGGCGAGGTCTTGAACACAGCCCCCTGGAGGGGGACTGGTATCTGTTTGTTTTTTTTTCCCACCCAGATTTACCAGCTGGTCTCGTTAGTTAATTAACTGCCTTCTAGACAGGCTGAGCCGGGTTTTGCAGTGAGTTGTCATCAACTATAAAAGACCTGGCAAAGACAAAAACTCCTGCGCATGTACAACAAAGACAATAATCGGGCAAACGGTTTCATGACTCCGGCGAATGCCAGGCAGACACTAGGCACTCAGGGAGCTGCGTCTGAGGCCCCCGTTCCTAAGAAGATCGTGCACGAGTGCCTTTGTGCAAGGAGGAGCACAGGCAGGGGCTGTCTTGGTGCATAAGATTGAAAAGAGTAACTAGGAGGAATCCAGTAAAGACCGACGATGTTTTTCTGTCTTTTGTATCTTGCCTCCTTGCAATGTCTATTTGTCATCTTTTTCAGCTGAAAAGCCAGATTACGTGTTTGAAACTGTGATGAAGGAAGACTGCTTCCACAGCCGGGCTGCGATGGGGTAGTGAAGCTGGGACAAGCCTCACATGTCTGGGCAAAGTAGGCGACCTAACCATGATTTCTTGATCGGGCCATGCAGGGATCCGTTCTGGAGAGACACCGTAGGAACGGATAGCAAGCAGTCGTATTATAGGAGCAAGAACAAGGGGGCAGTTTTCAGGGTCTGATGTTCCCCTCTGCGAATGGGCTTCAGAGTACTGAGCAATACGAAATTCGCTCCGGCTTCCCCTTAATGCAGCCCGGACTAGGAGCAGGCCCCAGTGCAGAGATTTCGGGGGACAATACGTATCACACAATGAGGCCACTCAGGCTCGTTTGGACTGCTCCCGGTCCCTCTGGCTGGGATGCGCAGGCAGCCCCAGGGGCATGTGGGGGCAGCCTCACACTGCAGGGCTTGTTCAGCACCTCTGCCGGGACAGCAGACTCATTGTCCTCTGGGGCACAATCGGCTCGTCTGTGGGGGAGCCGGAGATGCCTGCACGTCCTTCCTCTGGTTGCAGGGGGCGGCCTGGCCACTGGCGCAGCCCGAAAGCAAGGGCCCCTTTCCCTGCTGGGAGCGACGACCACCAGTCCGCCTCAGCAAGGCGCCGAGCCTGGGAGAAACTCAGCCCAGCAAAGTCACGCTGAGTGCAAGGGATAGTGATGAAGCAAGCCCAAGGCAAATACCAGGAAATGACAAGCAGTAAAAAGGGGAAAAAACTCCCCACGAGCCTTGCCAGGCTGTTCGGTTTTATCCTTTTTCAGGCGGTGGAAACAAAAGTGCACCTACACTGGGGTACATTTAAGACCCTTTACACAAAGGGTGGTGGGAGTGTGGTACAGGCTGCTCAACCAAGTTGATGAGACCCTGGCTTCTTTCAAGGAATGGTTGGTGAATAATAATAATGAACCTGTATAATAATAGTGAACCTGTACCCTCACCACACATCAGCTATCAGTGAGGAGGAGAACAGAGTGATGACGTCAGTTCAGAGATGGGGATTTAAGGAGGCCATGATTGGTAAAGGCCAATGGGAAATTTGGCCAGGACACTGGGGTAACACCCCTACTCTTTTCGAGAAACGCTCTGGGATTTTAATGACCAAAGAGAGTCAGGACCTCGGTTTTACGTCTCATCCAAAGGACAGTACCTTTTCACAGTATAGCATCCCCGTCACTATACTGGAGCATTAGGACCCACACAGACCTCGGGATGAGCGCCCCCTACTGGCCCCTCTAATAGCTCTTCCAGCAGCAACCTTAGCTTTTCCCTAGATGTCCCCTAATCAGGTACTGGCCAGGCTCACACCTGCTGACCTTCAGTGGTCTGCCAGTTGTGAGCTGCAGGGTGATATGGCTGCTGGCTTAAAAGACACGCTTCTGTGACCGGGAATCGAACCCAGTCCGCAGCAAGGAGAGCACCAAATCCTAACCACTAGACCACCAGGGAGATCCCTGGACCAATTAGCTACTAACTACCAAACGGGCCAGCTGAGCCGAACGACCTCTTGATTGTAACCTTGCATGTGTGCGGTCCGTTAGACTGACAGCGCTGCAATGCAGGAATATGCTGTGGTGACTTGGCCAGTGTGAGCTACTGGTTGCCAGTTGTGCTCTGTGGCTCCTGCGGTGGTAGCACAGCAGATCCAGGTAGCCTTAGCCTGTCATACAACATTGGTTCAGGTCTGCAGTACTGAGGATGGTCACAAGGCCCCAGTGCAATTTGATTGCTTGGGTCTCGTCTTCCTGTAGGCCAGAGCTACACCTTCTGTAGCCCTTCCAGGCTGCTCCAGTGCACAATTCTGCCACAACCTGCTGTGTAACTGATAATCAGAGGAGTCAATATTGTATCGGAGGAGTTGGTTACAACAAAGAGCAGCAATGGCGTAGGTTGGTGGGGCTAGACATGGAGTTGTCGTGCTAAGGGGATCCGTCTCCCTGTTTTTCCCAGGATTATTTACACACCACTGGGCCTTGACCAGGCTGGCAGGGGCTCTAGGAGGTAACAGCTCCTTCCCTCTCTTTCTCTCTCGTCCTTTCCTGCTCCCACTAATCCATTTTCCCCTCCGCCGTT